CAGAAAAAAAAAAGAATTACTATAGTAAGGTTTCTAATTATTTGTTTATTCTGTAGGAAGAAAACTAAAAAGAATTACGAAGAATGTTAGGCTCTGCTATAAATTTTAGTATAGGTCTGTATACTAGAAAGAAAATATAGATTTGGGAAGAGGTTCTGAAATTTAAAATGCACTTTTTAAAATATCTGAAGGCATCTAATAGATATCATTTAAACCAGGAGTCAGCACACCAAATCCAGCCCAATGACTGATTTGTATGGTTCAAAAACTAAGAATGGTTGCTATATTCTTATACTAATTTTTAAAGTCAAAAGAAGAGTAATATTTTGTATCATGTGAAGGTTATATGAAATTCAAATTTCGGTAATCATAAATAGTTTAATTGAAACACAGCCAGATTTACTTATTTACATAGTGCCTATAGCTGCTTTTGCACTACATCAGCAGAACTGAGTAATCATGACTCGATTTGCCAGGCAAAAAGCTTTTGGCTTTTATAGAATCAAATTTATTGATATTTTCATGGTTTTGAGTCATGGTTAAAAAAGATTTTCTCTGGCATAAAGGAATTGAACCCTGGTTTCTTTAGTTTTGTGTCTTTATATATATTCTAAGGACAAAATTTTCAGATAAACCTACAACTTAATTCGGTATTTTTATTATTAGTTAGCAGGCTTGCTGGCATTATTATTTTGAAGCTTTTCATATAAATTGTAGAATAAAGCAAATCAGTAGTTACATCAATGATGTTAGAATGAAAATTCAGTGTAAGAAAAAAACAAATTCAAACATAAAATCAATTAGATTAGGTAAAATCCCTGAAACATCATATTTTATATGATATGATAAATATGAACTTTAAAAAAATTATTTCTTATGTCCTCCAATATTTGAGTCAAGGAAGTAAACATTTTTTAGTGATTTCCTTTGTGGTCAATGAAAAAGTTAGATCCTCATGGATGCTATTGTGGAAATTAAAGAGAAGCCTTGGCTTGCTGATAGGCTAAACTGAATTTTTATATTCCAACTTATTCATTATATTCTAATTTATTCAGTCAGCATCTTTCTGCAATATATACTAAAGCTAATGTAAATATAATTTCCCTTATGTGTATGCTCTGTAGCTCTGGTTTTGAAGCATGCTTTTTAGAACTAAAATTTAAAAATACAAATGTATAAAATTTATATAGAAATATTTCCATTTATTAGAGTTCTTAAAAGGAGATGGAACTAATATTTTATACAAATATTTTATACTAAGGAATGCCTGTCATTTAATTGAGAAATGGAGAGTGTGTGTAATATATAATAAATCTTATTAAGATTAAATAAAAATTAGATTACTCAGTCCTGAAGGGCCTAGAAGTAATGGCAGTGTCATATTTATGAGCATTTCTATCATCCAGATTAGTGACCCTAATTAAATGAAGCCAGAAATCCTTAACAAAAAATACATAAAATTTCTTTCACAGACTAAAGGAATAATATTAGAACACAGGATCCAAAGTTGGCACAATTTGAGCATTCAAAAGAAAGAGTGAATATAACTGATTAAAATACTCTAAATATGTATGAAAATCTTTGCATCTATAATTATGCTCAAGAAAGAGCTAGGTGTGATGCTGCATGCCTGGATTCCTGGCAGACTAAAGCAGGAGGCTTGAGCAGGAGATCATAAGTTTGCAGCCTGGGCAAGTTGATTTAGCAATACCCTGTCTCAAAATTAAAACAAAAAAAATTTTTTTAAGGGCTGGGGATGTAGCTCAGTGCAGAGGCCTTTGTTTCAATCCCCAATGACATAAATAAGAACCTTTTCTCAAAGGGGGAAATATTATTTTCATTTGCTGAAACTGGCAGTATCTATTAGTAGATAAGCACATATATAGATACAGATATAATATATATAACATTTTAAATTATTTAATTAGAAGAGAAATATTTATTCTGTCCTACTAGCAGAAAGCACATTTCCATGTAACCAAATACATAGCATCCAAGTGGGATTTATTTCAAGAATTCCATCATAATTCAATATTAAGTATCTATAAATAAAATTCCTCATTAATAGACCTAAGGCGAAAACCAAATGATCATCTCTATAGGTGTTAAAAAGGCTTCTAACAGAGTCAACAATAAGTCTTGTTTTTTTTTTTTGTTTTTTTTTTTTGTTTTTTTTTTTTGTTTTTTTTTTTTGTTTTTTTTTTTTGTTTTTTTTTTTTGTTTTTTTTTTTTGTTTGTTTGTTTTGTTTTAGTATTAGGGATCAAACTCAGGACCTTGTGCTTTTGAGGCAGGCGGTAGAACCTGGCCCAGTCTTGAAATCACTTTTTTTTTTCAGTACTGAGGGTCAGATCTAGGGCCTAGCACATGCAAGGCAACCATGACTACGAAGCTACATCCTCTAACCATAAATAAATTTTTATTGTGATAAAATGTTTTCCGCATCCAAACAGAGTAGGACTAATATATAAAAGAAGCTACTATGGGGAAGCAGTGACACAAGAAGCATTTGCACTTCTATTAAGGTAGTAAATAAGACTAGAATGTCCACATCACCACCATTATTTAACATTATATTTGAGATAACAGCCAATGCAATTAGGTAAGAGAAAGTTGTTAGAAGTATAAAAATTGAAAAAGAAGAAAAACTACTATTATTGGCAAACAATATGATTGTTTCCCCAGAAAACCCAATAAATCAATGAAAAGAGCTCAATAAAGTAATAGCTTTTGGCCCAGCATGGTGGCGCACATCAGTAATCCCAGTACTCTAGAGGCTGGGGCAGGAAGGTTGTAGTGAGTTCAAGGCCAGCCTGGGCTACATAGTGAGTTCAAGGCCAGCTGGAACTACATAGTGAGACCCTGTCTAAAGAAAAAAAAAATAGCTTTTATTTCTTCAGACTACATCTAGACAGAAAATGTAATGAATGAAAAAGTCCAACTCACAATAGCAGAAAAATATTATAAAATAACTAGTATCAAATCTGACAAGACCGATGCAAAATCTATACAAAAACTTAAGACAACACTGATGGATCCAAAACAAGAGAAGCAAATAAAAAGATACATTTTCTTATATAGAAACACTTGTCATTATTAAAGATGTTCATTTCCTAAGTTAATTAATGTATCTAACTAGATTTTTTTATTGAGTTTAATTTTTTGTGATGTTGGGCATCAATTCCAGGCCCTTGTGCTCACTAGGCAAGTTAGACAAGTAGTTGAGCACAATAAAATCGGATTTCTATAAAAATTTTTCTAAGGAGCCAAGTGTCTTAGTTACTTTTCTCTTTACTGGAACAAAATACCCAACACTTGTCAATTAAAGGAGGAAAAGTTTATTTTAGCTCACAGTTTGTACAGGTTTCAGTTCAGAGTTGGCTGGTCTCACTGTTGTGTGCCAGAATGTTATGGTTTATATCTAGATGTCCCCCCAAAGCCTCACGTGCTCATAGCTGGAGTCTGGGGAGGTGACTGGGTCATGGGGGTGATACTCATCTGTGGATTAGGACACCTATGAATTCATAGCTAAGTGTGATGTTGGAAGGTGAAGCCAGGATGGAGGTGAGTCACTGGGCATGGCCTGGAAGGGTACATTTTCCTCACTCCTCCCTCAATTGCTCTCTGCTTCCTGCTTGTCATGCCATGAGCAATTCTCCTCTGTCATGTGGCTCTAAGAAAGTAACCAAGACACCATGAAGATGCATAGCTATAATCCTGGCACTTGGGGAGGTTGAGGCAAGACAACTGCAAGTTCAAGCCCAACCTGGGCAACTTAGTGACTTAGTGAGACCCTGTTTCAAAAAAATTTTTTAAAGGGCTGAAGATGTAGTTTAGTGCAGAGGCCCTGGGTTCAATCTCCAGTACTACCAAAAATTTTTAAAAATTTTTTTCTCCTTAAGATTTTGGTTTGCTGTCCTCACATTATGTTTTTAAGTAGGCAATTTAATCCTACAGTTCAGTTTTTAAAAGTAAACACTAGATTAGGCAGGAGACATCAGGAAAACAATAGTGGCCACCAGCAGTGTCAAATTAATCAAAACATACTTATGAGCCTCAATAATTAATGTTATGCTACTCCACTGCAGAAAGGGAAAAACACCAATGGAATAAGAAAAAGCCAGAAATACACTGTAAAATACACAGGAGCTTAATAGTAAGATTAATCTCAAATCAGTGGGACCACCAAGTAGCCATTTGAAAAAGGTAAAGGTAGATCTATACCTAACATTTTAGGACAAATTTCAAGTGAAGCAATATTTAAAATAAAAAATCATAATACTTCCAGAAGAAAATATTTTCAAATGTAACCGTGACTTAAAATTCAGACGTCATAAGTTAAATTCACTACATAGAAATAAAAAATGTTCTGCCTGACAAAAGATATATGGCAAATAGAAAACGGGGTATATCCATGATTCTTATTACATGTTTTTGTGTAAAAGGAAAAAAATTAAGAATTCACATTTGCATTTGTTATTTATACTTAAAGACACTCTGTAAAGATGCATGAAAACTAAGAACATTAGTTGTCTATGTCAGAGATAGAGGAGCAGATGGATGAAGAAAAAGAATGGGAGGGAAACTTTCCACTGTATAACTTTTTATACATTTTGTTTTTTGAGTCAGGCTAATATATTTCCTACTTGGAAAGTAAAGTTTTTAGGAAGTCTCAACTCTCACACAGCTTATTTTCCAGTGTAGGCAGATAAACAAATACAGAAATAAATATACAGAGCTGGTATGTAGCTTAGTAGTAGAGGGCTTGCCTGGCATATGTGAAGAAAAAGAAGAAATATATACTTGGAATCATGAGACAGTTAAATCCATGAATACAAAGAACTTATGTATTATATGCTGAAGTACACAATAGCAGCTTGACTAATATGTTCTGAAAAACTATAAAATAACTTTTTTTAAGTCCTGTTTGTGTTCTCCATTATTGTTCTACCAGCTTGTCAATGTAAGTACATAGAGTAATTGAAAAAACAACAAATTGTACCTGTTACAAATAGTGTCCGGAACATACATCTTCAGGTCTTCTGTGACATCTCTCATCACCCTCTGGTATCCAGACATTCCAGGGTCTTTGATATAATTAGGATTATTTCTCATTAAGCTTTCTCCCAAATGATTGATTGAATCAAACTTGGTTGGACTATCAGCTTTGGTCAAAAGCTTCTTTTCTCGCTGCGTTAACATTTTTTCCATTCCAGGAACTAAGGTGGGTAGAAGTTTGTCAAGCAAATACGTACGAGTACTCAGTGCTGTGTTTTCAGTATTAAACCACTCTTTAGCCAAATTATCCCTAGGGAGTTTTTTTTCAGATTTTTTTTCTAATTCTTTCTTCAGATTATCCTTATCTATTTTCTGCTGCATTGCCTGGGCTCTTGCCTCTACTCTTTCAAAAAGATTTTTCTTCCATGGTTGCTCTATCTTTGGTTTCGGTTTAATTTCATCTAAATTAAAAGTTACTCTTCCAGGTTTTCTAATTACCATATTCCCTGGGACTTCAGTGTTCAAGTCCATTGTCAAACCTTTCAAGGTTTTCAGCTGCTCCTCTAGATTTAATTCTGAGGGGGAAAAGAAGAAATATAAGAAATAGTAAAAGAATTTAGAAATATATATTTTAATATATATGACCCTAGAATATTATTTTTTAAAGTTTTATGTCCATTTACATGGTATATTAGAATATCTGAAAATGGCTGAAAGTGCCACAAAGTGTGACAACAGTCAGTTGGACCATAAAGACATCAGAAGTCATTCAGCAGATCAGTGATTTCATTAAGTAACTACACTGTTTTGCTCTTCATTCATTTTTTGCACTTGTGCCTCATCATCACACAACGGCTTTTACAGCTCTAGAGATCACTTTTAGAAAAAAGAATAATTGGGGACAAAGGGACTTTCTCTTCTTGAGGTTTTGTTTTACTATTCAAGAGGAGAAAAATCCCAGACTGTCCAGTCAAAGACTTCCCTTCATATTTCATCGACACTAATTATGAAAGTGTCATAATCATAATTTCCATTCCAAAACCAATCACTGGCAAAAGAAAATGACATTACAATGAATATTTTTTCTTGATTGTCAGGGTTGCACCAGATTTCTTCGATATCAAGTGATTTCTTTCTGCTACAGAATATACAGCATGCAAACATGGAGAAACACGTCCTCTGTAGGCAATTAAGACAGTCTAGCAAACATGTATATTTAAATATATTTCTTCCCACCCTTATATTTCCAGCCTCTCTCATGTTTTCACTTTTTAAATACAGGATGGAGATATAAACCAAGACCAAAATGGTGGACTGAGAATACTTATCTACATCTTTTCCCTAACACAAACCTCCAGAAATCACAGGAAAGGTTATGTGTGCATTCTTTAAATATAAGGATATGAATTCTGGAAATTATGAAGTACTTAGAAATTTTGAGGTTCCCTGAAAAATATAAGGGATTCCCTTGATTAAAGAAACTATAGAACTAAAATAATACAGAAGACCACTGCAAAATCTGGGAGCAGCTTTGAGGCATTCCAAATTTAGAGGAGATGGATATTGATGAAGAATTATTTAAGGAGAATGGTGGTTCTCTCAAATAAATGTTGGGTAGGCAAGATACATCACTACTAAGAAAGTGATCAATTTCTGGTTTAAGAATGGAAGCAAGGAGGGTAATTTCTATGATGAGAATTGCAAGTAATGTTATGGTTGAGGTCTAAAATGTTCCCCAAAAGTCTCATATTCAGAAGTGGGGCCTGCTTGGAAGAGGAAGGTCACTAGGGGTATGACTTGGAAGAGTATATTCTCATCCTTGGCTCTGCCTTTCACTCTTGGCTTCCTGGCTACCATAGTTGAGTAGCTTTCCTCCACCATACCCTTTCACCATTTTACTTCTGTATTGGAGCCTGCCAAGAATTGGCTGAACTCACTGAAACTATGAACCAAAATAAACCTCTCCTCCTTTAAGTTGTAGGTGCCAGGTATTGTGCCTCAGTAACAGGAACAGGAAAGCTGACTAGCATCAGAGTTTGGTACCAGGTATGGGGTTGTTGCTGTACACATGACCATGTGGCTCAGAAGCTTTTGGAATTAGTTTATGGGAGAAATTTGGAAAGGTTGGAGAACCTAGGGCTACAGAAGTCCTAGGATTCCACAAGCAGAACTTAATGAGAAATTCTGGTTGTAATTCACAAGATCAGAATGCTAACAGGAATGTGGACAGTAAAGGCCAAACTCAGAAGGTATGAGATAGGAATGAGGACTATGCTGGAAACTGGACTGCCAGCCATGTGTGCTTCTTTCTGGAAAAAACTTGTCTACACTTTGTCCATTTCCAACACCTTTTTCTGAGGCTGAAATTAAAGGGGGCAGACTAATTAACCTGATGGATATTTCAAGGCTGATCAATGTTCAGGCTATGGCATAGGTATTACTGGCTGCTTTTAGCCAGATCAATAGTGAGAATCAGAAGCAATAAGCAGAAAGATGTGAAATTTTCTGCTCATGGCCAGTAAGGAAGTGTTTGTAAAGTTGAGACCAAGGAGAGCTTGGTTTCTAAAGATATTCATGTTAATAAAAAGGAACTAAAGGGCTGGGAATATAGCTCAGTAGTGCAATGTCTACCAAGCAAGCATGAGGCTTTCAGTTTTATTCCTGGTACCAAAAAAGAAGAGAAACAAAGGAACTAAGTACTTTGCACAGGGAAGAGAAGAAAGATATTTTGAGAGTATCTCAGAAATCAGCAAGACCTACCCAAGTGTAGGCTCAAATGTACAAAACTGTCATTTGAGAAAAAGAGTCTTTGGAATACCTACTAAAGAAGAGCCAGTTAGGGAATTGTTTCCATAAGATTAGTTTTACAATGGTCAGCCATGCAAGCACTCAGGAGCTTCTGCAGCCATGGTTCAAGAAGGCATAGTTACTGCTCAAGCTGGTGGCACACCTTGGCATCATCCTTGTGGTGCGGGTTTTTCAGGTATGTAGAATGCAAGGGTAATGGGGTTGGTGAGGCCTCTATCCATTTTTCAGAGGACAGAATGGGAGGCCAGGCAAGGAGTCCATTAGAGGCCTGGGCATAAAGCTTGGAGAGTAAAGCCAAAGGTGCAGTGGAGAAGGAAGTTGAGGATGCCAGAAACACTAAATGTCTACTGAGGAAAACTGAAGGCAGTGAGTGGAGCCAGCCTAAGAGAGAGGCTATGTGGTTTGCAACCAGCAAGGCCATCAGGGTAGGGTCACCCAAGACCTTCTAAGTTAACATCTCACTACAACCTGCCTTGGATGTTGGACATGGAGATACAGGACTTAATACTTGCCTTGCTGGTTTTCAATCTTGCTTTGGTCTGATTTCTTTCTATCCATGTATTCCTCTCTTTTTGAATGGGAATATTTACCCTGTGAAATTATATGTTGGAAATATTTAGCTTTCTTTATGATTTTTCACCAGGGTTTGCAGCTAAGAGTTTGCCTGAGTCTCAGAGGAGACTTTGGGCTTGGATTTTTCAGCAATCCAATTGATAAGACTTTGTTGACTCTTAAAGATAAACTAAATGCATTTTGCATAATAGACAGACATGCAACTTTTATGGGCCAGGAGTGGAATGTCTTGGTTGAAATCTAAAATTTCTCCTGACAATCTCATATTTGAAGGTGAGACCTGGTTAGAAGGACTGAGTTACCAAGGCTCTGACTTAGATGGGTGTATTCTAATACCTGTCTCCTCCCTTCTCTCTGTATTTCCTGGCTGCCATGGCATAGCAGCTTTCCTCTGCCATGCTCTTCCACCTTGCCATGTTTGTCTTGGAGAGTCAACTTTGGATTGAACCCACTGGAAACAAAAAGCTAAATACACCTCTCTTTCTTCAAGTTGTGATTGTTGGGTATTTTGTCCCAGCAATGGGGAAGCTGACTGATATATAATGAAAAGTTTTTCTTTCTTTTCTCATAGAGAAGGATTTCTTTTTAAAAGGTAGGATAAGCTTGACTATATTTAGATATTGAGAAGCAGGAGACAAAGTAGAGAGAAAAATAGAATATACAAGAGAGATTTTAGATGACGGTCCTCAGGATCTGAGGAGATATGAGGGAATAAAAATCAAGAATATATAACAGTCTTGGATAAGACATTTCTCACACTCAGCTGAAATGACACAGAAAATTATGAACATTCCATTCTCTAGCTTTTGCAAAATAAAATAAATATTGCTTAAACCAAAGAAAGGTGGGATCATAAGCTTAAGGTAAAAATTTAAAGTAACTGTTATGAGGGTGGAAAAAAGACTATGTACACACAGACAGATTTCCAAGTGATATTGAAAATCTGAGATTGAAAGCTACACATTTTTTTTTTTCATGGCACTAGCACATAGAATTGTATGGCTTTTTTTCTAGTAGACCTGGGTAGCTTGGCCTTGGGTTCCCAGGACATAGACAACACATACTCTGAACAATCAACTATTGGATGCTTTCTTTCCTATTCCCATGATTGCTGAGGTGACTGAAATCAAAAAATTAATGGGAACATTAAGGTAATTTTTCCTTCTGACTTGGCTATGGAGGTGAAGTAGTTTCATTATCCACTGGAAAAATATATCAGTGCCCAGTTGAACCACAATAAGATCAAAGCTATATATTGTTAGTGGCTTTTGCTTCTGTTACTTTATGGATGGAAGAGAAAATAAAGAAATACATATAGGAATTATTTCTATAATCATTGTTTTTAATATTACTTGGAACTAGTTATTGAGTTATGCTTCAATCATTAACAACTCCCAATAAGTACTATTATTGCAATAAAAAGGTAAAAGATCAGAGCTTCAGTGGATGTAGGACTCTAGTTCCTTGTATCCTTTGTGACCAGAGCAGCTATGCTTTAATTTATTTTACGTAATTAGAGCACATCATAAGATTCCATTTGAAAAAAAATATTTTGCTGCCTTAAAATTTTGTTTAAAGCCAATACTCTGAAAAATAAATCCAATCTAAACACTATCTTTCTTTCCCAGAGTAAATTAAATAATCTATGAAAGAACCTTGAAAAGTTTCTTTCTATTTTATCTATAGAATGTCTTAAGTTCAATAGTGGTAGTAGTGTATTTATTTACCTTGCCGGTTTTGATTTCATTCTTTGCCAATTCTCATATTCTTATAAGAGTAAAATAAGTAGGATAGTATAATGCCCCCTCTCACCTCCCAGATAGATTTGTAAACAAATCATTTTGGAAGCAGATGTGTGAATAAGATATATCTCCATTTTGTTTTGTCAAAATACTAATTAATATACAATGGTTTTATTTTTAAATGAATGTGAAAGAGAACAACTTTTAAAGTCTGTAGATTCTAAATGCACTCTTTCTTTTCTTCTAATCGACCACCACAAACCAAGGCAGATACATCTTTACTTGCTTTAGGGATAGTACTACAGATGTACAGAAACTTGATATCTACCCATCTGCTATGGCTCATTAGTAACCTCACACATGAACTAGGGCATTCTCTACCTTCACTGCAGCCTGCTAGTACTTCTTTAGTGTGCTTGGCCATTAAAGGTTGCCAAGCAATAATCCTAGTGCTTGCATTGTCCCTATTGATACACAGAATGGAAGTAGACATGTATTTGGTTACAATGCTGTCAAATACTTCTCTCTTAGAGCCATAAAACCAAGAAGAAAAAAAACAGGCATAGCTATCGCAAGGTCAATAAATCAAGATTCTGCAAAAGTCTATCTGAAACTGTCTTTTGACTGAGAGACCTCTGAATTCAAGTATCACAAATTACAGAACTGCCACAAGGGTAAATTAGTTTAGAGGCTCAATTAAATGTAGCTTCAAACAAGTACTGGGTTTTTCAGTAAGTCTGAGCGTGTATTTTTCTAAACCTTTTACAGATAAATTGATTGATTCCTTTATACATTTATTAAATAAACAATTATTGATTTCTTACTATGTGCCAGGCATTACGCTAAGCACTACAACTCTTCTTCCAGATCTATTTCATAGTCTTCCTAGAATTAAGACTCTGAGCTCTTCTCCAGCTCTCATACCTTCAGTTCTCTACTAATCCATCTTCTAACATGCAAAAACCTATTCAGGCACCGTGGGCATAAATGCTTTCAACTAAATAAGTAGGTACAAAAAGAATTCCTTACTCATAATTTGAAAGATCTAGCCTTGAGATTTTTAATATTTCATGTACTAGTGCACAGCTCACTGCCAGGCATAGCCTCGATACAAAATTATTTAAGGATATAAATGGAAATGAATTATAATCCACATTATAATAAGCTTTAGCAGGCTCAGTCTAATGTTACATAACATTAGTGGAACTGGCTGCTAATTAAACTGGTGAGAATTGACGCAGCAGAGTTATTCAACAAGCTGTATGATATTCTTTAAACACAGGCTCTATCTGAAATGCAGCAGCCTTGTCCTTATTAATAAGATTTCTCAACATCTGTGCATAATGTAAATGGCTGCTATAGAAGAAGGAAGAAAAACACTATTAAACATTATTGGAATTGAAATTCAACTGCTATAGGAAAAAGCAGCTTCCTACAAAACTTTGTTAAATTTAAGGCTTGTGTAATAAGAACAAGAGTTGGGCAGGGCTTGGGATTTAGCTTAGTGGTACCTGCCTCGCTAGCACAAGGTCCTGAGCTCAATCCCCAGAAACACCCCCCACCAAAATGAGAATGAGAATAAGAGCTGGGCAAACTGATATCTTTCTTTAAAGTATAAATAAGTTAAACTCATGTCCCAAAATGGAGAATAACTAAGATGAAGAATTGATATGTACATTTAACTACAATATTTTCTATGCAAACACAAATATTTGAGTACATTTTGGGAGCTTCTTAGCAAGGTAACACCACTTTAATTTTGACAAGTATATAGCAAGGATTATGACACTTTTTTGACATGTTGAAATTGCAACAACAGCTCCTCTTCCTACTTCTTTTATACATACATATTATATTTTATATCTACATAAAATATAGATATTGATGTTTAGAAAGTAAGGATTCAGGGCCTGGGGATTTAGCTCAGTGACACCACACCTACCTCGCAAGCACAAAGTCCTGAGTTCAAGCCCCAGTACCAAAAAAAAAAAAAAAAGTAGGGATTCAGAATATAAGGGGTTATAGTTACTGATCACTGAAGAAATGTACTTTGTACTTCATTTGATATCACAACAAGCAACCACCATGTTTTTAACACTTACTATATACTGCAACGAATAGACAAACAAAATACATTTCCTTCTACTAAAAAAAAGTAATGAGAAATTGAAAGTACATACCAGAATAGGAAAGTCCACAAACTATTAATTGATTTTTCTGGGACAGCAATAAATTACACGATGGACTACTTGTATGAAGTTTTACAGGTAAAAATTTGGCCACAAACTAACATTAATACCTAATTAAATTTATATCAAATTACCTTGATCACAATTCTGGATGGCATGCTTAAAATGAAAGAGTTAATTTATAAACCTGGCCTAAGTGATTAAGGTAAAGGCAAAGCAGTAGTGGAAGGGTTGGGCAAGGAGAAAGTAAAATCAGGAAACTAAGGTGTAAGGGCAGGTAGAGGAGGATGGGTAAATATTTGTAAGGAAGAAAAATTTTAAAAGTTAGCAAAGCTGTGAAATAGTACTGTTTATAAGAAAGGCAAACTAAGGGTTATAAATTTTACTTCTTAACATGTAGTAACAAGAAGGAAAGGTAAATAACTGCTCTTAATTGGTTTAAAAGACAGAAAAACACTTTAGAAAAAATAAGTACCTAAAAGTTGTAACTAGTATCTATACAAACATTTATGCTTTAGAAATACTTTGATAATTATTATTATAATTCAGCCTATCCCAGCTTAACACATACTAAACATACAATACTTGTAAGCTGATTTGAAGGTAACAAAGTCAAATTGTTGCATTTTAAATTTTGTAAAGAATTTTTGTTCGTACAGGATGTCACTAAATCTCTGGAATTAGAAGTGGCTATGGTGAAAGAGATGAATATCTTATCCACTTAGCTGTTACCTTCTCTATCCTGTAAATTTTCAGTCTGTGTAATTATGTGGAATTTGGGTAAAGAGTGAAGCTAGGAGTCAATTTTAGATCAAACTATATAAATACATGGTAAAATTTAGTAGTAAAATAATAAACATAACAGTGTTTGTCACTTTCCTGTCATTGGGACAAAATAACCAACACTCACAAGTTAAACAGGGAGAAGTTTATTTTGGCTTCCAGTTTCAGAGGGTTGATTCAGCCCATGATTTGCCGGCTCCAAGGCAGAATGGACATGGTGGAGGAGATGTACTCAACTCATGGAAACCAGGAAGCTAAGAGGGAAGGAGGAGCTAGGAACAACAATGCACTCTTCCAGGTCATTTCCTCAGTGGCCCGCCTTTTTCATCCAGACCCCACCTCCTGTCAGCACATTCAGCTATGAACTTATTAATGGATTAATTCACTGGTGAGTATTAGCACCCCCACGATCCAGTAACATTCCAAAAGCCCTACCCCTGAATACTTGAGAGTTTGGAGGCACATCTTAGATCTAAACCATAACAAAGACCAAAAACAATAAGCAGCCCAAACCACTAGAATTCATTTTATTTTCATATTATTGGATTTTCTTAGGCATCAATCAAGACTTTTCACTAAATTTTCTCTTTAATTAAGAAATGATGAATAGTTACAAGTTGTCTCAAATGTGTTAACAGAGGGGACAAAGGGAATCTGAACTATTTCCCAAACTTAACATGTGAAATAACCTCCTGGGATTATATGTTTAAAATGAAAAAATGTCAAGACTACATCCCCAATGAAAAATTTAATGTTTCTTTTAGATTTTATTGTGTAAAAGGAATGGTTAGTTCTCTACCTTGTGATTTTATTTCATTTTTTGCATCTTCCTCCACATGGTTGCTGGTCTCTGTTGCAGAGACCTCTGGTACAGTCTGTGAACTCTTTGAAAGGAGAAAATAAATACCAATTTAAAAATGAGTTGCTCTTCCTCAAAGATGTATTAACTCTCTCAATTAAAGAAGGATTCATTTATTTATAAGAATTACTAAACATCCCTACTTAGTTCTTTTGGGATTTAATGTTATATACTAGAAGTAAAGCAATAATCACAATTTATTACATTCACAAGACAAAGCATTTGCTTCAACATGTCATCTCATCTTCCTATTACTAACAAAGCAACATGTGGGAAATATTTCAATTGCATATTAATCCTTGACTTATAGAATACTTTCTATAAATATAATTTGAGAATATATCATAGTGGAATTAAACATTTGAAAATGCTACTTTTTAAGCTTTTAGAATCACTTTCCATATGTATATAGAAAGAAAAACATCTCATCTTAATTGAGCTTAAAGATTGATTTTGTAAATAATGGCAAAACACGGGATATTTTAAAAACTCATATTAGTCAATTAAAGTGAATCCGTTTAATTTTTGAACTGCTTCCTCTTCAACATTGCATTTTTTTACCAAGGTAGTGGTATATTTATTTAAACACAAAATGACTTAAATTATTAATGTGGAAATTATATTTTCAGCAGGGCAGTGATTGTTACTCTATAAACTGGTGGTTACTGTACTTACATTATAATTCTGATTTTAGAAAGCAAGCTTAATTTATTTATAATTTATAATAGCAAATAATTTACCTATCTACAAGAGCTTCCTGTGACTGAAATGAATTGTTTTAACAACATAAATTTGCTACTTTACATTTACTCTTTTGTTTATCTTCTTGAACACCCTATTTTTCTTTTCCTTCTTCATAAAAATATTAATTTATCTAATTTACTCTCCAGGATTAACATTTGATTATTCATGACAACTATACCTCAATAAGCTCTTGCACTTCAGCTGAGTCCTGTTTTTCTTTGTCCTCTTGTTCATTTTCCTGAAGTGGAAGCTGTGTTAGTTCAATGCTATCTAAAAGGAGCTGGGGGAGCTGGGGATTTAGCTCAGGGGTGATGTCACCTGCCTCATAAGTGCAAGGTCCTGAGTTTGATCCCTAGTACCATAAATAAATAAATATAAGGAGCTGGGGGTGAAGCTCTGTTATACTGTAGTACAGCACATTTTTAAATTTTTTTAAATTTCACATAATGAGTAAATATTATTCCAAACAAAATTATAAAAAGTGCTTATATTAGCAAATTTGAACAGTTAAAAGTTGTGATAATTAAGGAATGCTAATGAACTAGTGGCAGGTAACTATGATCCAACTATTGTTTTGATCTTTTTTGTACATTTCTGTCAAAATCGATGTGGAACACTTTAATTACAAAACATAGTGATAGAAAATGTCATTGCATTTCAATTTTCCCAAGGATATTGAATTTCAAATCCTGCCCCCACCCATACTAGAAATCAAACCCAGGGCCTTCACACTGAGCTACAACCCCAGTCATTTAAAAAAAATTATTTCAAGACAAGGTCTCATTAAGTCACTAAATTGCCAAGGCTTGGCTTGAACTTTTGATTCTCTTGCCTCCACCTCCCAGCATGCTGGGATTATAGGCATGTACCACATCTAACTCAAATCCATTCATAAATGATTAGAAATCTTTGTAGGCTAGAAACCTGAGCATGTTTGGATTCCTCTTGGGATGTTGATTCACTCATCTGGTTCAGGGTCCACTAAAAATATCACCAAACAGTATGGCTACGTAACACAAGGCCAATACTAATAACAAAAACAGAAAATGTTAATGAACAACAAAAAGTACACTGGAAGATTAAAATCTCCCTCACCCCCATCCTCACAAGCACCCCAACATTCTACTGCATGGTCATAAGTTCTCAACTGCTGAATTTTTCAAACTGTACTACTGTTATTACTGCTGTTACTGACCAAAGCTAGATCAGGGTAAGCCAGTGCTCAGGAAGACAAGGAAACTCATAGTGATCATCACTGTTACTATTTTTTAAAAATCCAGCAATAATAATGCAATTAATTTTTAGTATTATTATCACCCTTATTAATTTTTGTAATAATAAAGGGAAAGTGAAACTTTGATTGCTACCTATTGGAAAGGTAGACAAATAATAGAATAATAATTTCCTCCAAAAGCATTTTTTTGTTGGGGGAGAGTTTGGGGAGAAATATGATTTAGTTGGTTTATTTATTCATATTGGGGAATTAAAATGGATACTTACCAGATCTCCACTTCATTGTACTGCTGTGCCAAACATCACTTGATAATTTGAGTATGTATGGGCTAGGTATTGTGTAAAGAGTGAATGACATACGTGTGTCTCTGCCTCTACAGAAATTACCATCTAGGCACTCTTTAATTTGTAATCATATGTATTTAATACTCTGGAGTATTCACTTTACTTTATATCAACAAAATCTATATTCTTATTGAATAAACCAAAAGTTTTCCCTTTGGAAACAACAGATCCCAACACAAAAACCAGCAACCTCAAATATTTTTAAAAAAGCAGTTCATAAATATTAAATATAAATTGCTGTGATAGTTCCTAATTGTATATAGTCTTTGATTATGGTATCTGTCTCCTGAAATTGCTAAGAAGTTTCCTTCTATTTCTTTTAAAACCTGTATGATTTGCATTACTAAATACTTTAAACTCAGTAACCATTGGGCAATTGCCTTCTACATGCAGAAAGATATTGGGGTTAAAAAGATAAGACCTCTTGGGCTAGGGATTTAGCTCAGGCACCGTGCCTGCCTTGCAAATGCAAGAGTGCAAGGTCCTGAGTTTGATCCCCAGTTAAAAAAAAAAAAAGATAAGACCTCTCATTGAAGAATTTCTGGGTTAGTGAGGAAAGACAATGCAATTCAACCTGCAAAGTACAAGAATAGAACATATTAAGTGCTACAGTACAGAAAGAAATAAGCAATTTTCTCAGGGAAAGAAAGTTTTTACAAAGAGATTTCCAAACTGAATTTTAGAAGACTAATAAGAAATTTTTGTCTAAGGTGTGTGTGTTTGGGGTATATGAAGAAGGAATAATACACTTAACGGCATACGAGTTCAAAAGTGAAGTGTTCATGTAACAGCATAGCTATGTTGAAAACAGTGACAAAAGATGAGGCTAAGAAAGGTCATAACAGTACAAAGTTAGGCACAATAGCACACCTGTAAATCTCAGCTACTTGGGAGACTGACTGGAGAATTGTGAGTTTGAATCCAGTTAGAGCTCAAACATAGTGAGACCCCTAATCTAAAAATTATAATCAACATGTAAAGAATTAAGCATGCTAAATCAAGGAGTTTGGACTTTATTCTGTGCTTTTTAAGCAGAGGACAGATGTTATCAAATTGGTGTTTCTAAAGTTAACTCCCAGGGGCTGGGTATGTAGCAGGCTTGTCTAACATTCACAAGGTACTTTGTTCAATCATATATATATATTTAGCAACATTAGCAACATGGAGGATGAGCTAGAAGTATAAAGGATTTGAGGAACGGAGAATAAACATAAAAGTTGTGTCTAAGGTGAATTCCTTACTGCCCCTTCATCTAGTCTAGGCCCTGATAGATCGTATAAATACCCCAATTATATCTCTCAGGTTTACTTTTTCAGTACATGCAGATAGCTTCTGACTGCAAGCCTTGCAAAGTGCTTGGGAGGTAATATTCATGGGAGAAGTCCTTAACAAATGATGGATAGGCAGTTGTGTATAGACCCATTTCTGAGAAATTTAGTGAAATTGCTGAGGTATGTTCTATCCTGTTTCCCAGAGTTCGCCCGTGACACTGAGTCTTAGCTGTGCGCAGTGTACTTGCCCAATAAAACATTTGTTTGGCTTCCTTCACATCCCTGTATTACTTCCCTACTCCTTTATGATTGTTTCCTGGAAACAACTACCCAATAAACTTGCACCTTAGATCAGGGTCTAAGATCAAGGTCTTTTTCTGGGGGAATCCAAGCTAAACAGATGCAATCATTAGGATTGGGGTCATAATTGAACCTAAAGAGTGAAGCAGAGGGGTAATAACAGACTCTCTGATTATTCATTTTTATTGAGAAAGCTGAATGGATGATGATGCCATTAAATAAAATAAGAAAAGAGAAAAAATAGATTTGAGAAATGATACAATGAATTTGTGTTCGGAGGTGTTACATTTAAGACTGACCAATATTCCAGCACTCTGGAAGGCTGAAGAAGAAGAATCACAAATTCAAGCCCAGACTTGGATAGGCAATTTAAAACTCAGCAAAATTCTGCCTCAAAATAAAAACATGGGCTGGGGATTTAGCTCACTGGTGTCGCTGCCTGTCTCGCAAGCACAAGGTCCTGAGTTTAATTCCTGGTACCAAAAAATAAAAATAAATAAATAAATAAATAAATACAACAAAAGGTAGGGAGTGTAGCTCAGTGCTCAATATATTATATTGAAGGGAACTTAAATATACTATAAAGTATTGGCAAAAAATTGTTCAGAATTAAGTCTACTGGAAAATGATGGAGGCCCTGTCCAGTCAGAATATCATTACCTTGTATTTTAATCACTCAAATTGCATATCATTCTGTATACCCCACACACTCACCCAGGAGATTCTAGTCATTCTTCTTAGATTGTTGGCTGGAAGACAGTGCTTTTCTGAATCTAGTAAAGGGCTCTTCACACTCACTCTCAATAGATTTGCAACTTTGCATTTCTAACCTTCAATAGATTTGTGATTTGTAAATCACTTTCCAGTATAAAAGAAAAATTTAAAAATCACTCTAATTACTACAACTAACAAAAGATAAGAACTATCTTTTATTTATATATCTTGTGATTCTTGAACACTTAAGTATCAGTAGAAGGAGGCATTTGCAGGATAGTGATAGTGGAGCTCACCCAAGGATAATAAATGGAGGAAAAAAGGATGATAAACACTTAAACATAGAGTTAAGAAGGAAGAGCCAGTTAGAAATACTGAGAATTGTATAAGAGAAGAACCAGTTAGTAGTAGGATCTAAGAAACTGAGGCCATTCAAGGTCAATTTGCTACAGAGAAATCAAAGATGGTAAGGACTGAAAATAAATTATTTGAATTATGAATTTATTGACAAGTCACATTATCACCTTTGTGAGAGGCACTATACTGAGTGCCTGGCATGTTATCTAATTTAATCTATTGCACAGCCTTATCAAATAATTTTATTAACACAATTTTAATGTGATAAAACAGAATTTGATTAATTTGCTTAAAGTCATACAGTAATTGATCTCCAATTCCAGTCCATTTCCTAAGACTAGCCTTTACAACACTAGCTTAACTAATGAGTATTTTCTTCTTATTATTTAAAAAAATTTTTAAAAATTGTATTAGTATACATTTTCAGTACATAATGATTTTATTCATTATACAGAATTGGTACATGTACATAACACACCTCAATTCCTTTTGCTTCCCTTTTCCACCTCAACTCTCTTTTTACAACTAATGATCATTTAACTACAACAATCAGGCCAATGATTTAGCTCAGTGCTTTGCTGCCAGCCTCTCAAGCATAAGGTCCCAGGTTTGATCCATGGTACCAAAAACAAAACAAAACAAAACAAAAAAACAAACCATAACTACACAATCAATAGAATACTACTGGTAAAAGATGAAGAATGAATGTTAAGTTATAGAGACAGAGAAGGTAGACTACAGTTTGATGAAGTTCCTAGCAAGGAGGAATTCTGTGCACTTATTTATAAAAACAAATGACACCATCAACTTATAATATAAACACTCCTAGTGTTGGGACCATGTTCTTCAAACATTTTTATAGATTTATTCATTAATGGACTTATCATACAATTTTTAAATTATTGACTATGTACAAAATCACATATATTATCCAGGCATGGGAGACAACAGGTACTTGGGAGGCTAAGGCAAGAAGATCACAAGTTTGAAGACAGCCTGAGAAACTTAATGAGACCATGTTTCAAAATCAAAATTTTAAAAGAGGAGGGAGCTGGGGATATAATTCAATGTTATGGCACTTGTCTAGTACATGTGTGCCCCTAAGGTCAATCACATATATAAAACATGTGTATATTAAGGTCTTCTATGCTGCATTGGATCCTATGATATGTATTTTTGGTCTTTGACTATGGTTCCTGACAGCTCCTATGACCTCTGTAATTTCTGGAGTGATAAGCACATCTGACACACAGCTTCTAAATCCATTGGAATTTCCTGGGTGATAGTATTATCTTTTGTTTCAATAAGGTGACTCATTGGGCTTCTGGATTGCCTCAGGACAGAGGATGTTTGTCAGAGAAATTAGAAGATTGGAATTAGAAGATTGGAACTTTTAGCTGAACCACCCTCAGTGTCCAGGAAGGGAATAGGAGCTGAAGGTTGAGTTGATCACTAATGGCCAATGATATAATCAATCATAACTTCATGATGAAGCCTTCATGAAAAAACCAAAGGACAAGGTCAGCAGAGAGAATCAAGAAGGTGGAGCGATAAGCAGCAGCAAAATTCAGCCTCTCACAGTTGTTGCAATCTGTAGGAACATTGCAGGGTTTTATTCCAAGGAGACTCCCTCCGCATGGCAGGCAACAGCCAGACAGGGATCCCTGTACAGGCACCTGCCATATTGCTGAACAGCGCTTGATTGGGTGCCATTCCAGGAAGGGGATGATTGTTTGAATCTAGAACTGAGAACAGCTGAGAGATGGCTTCTCTTCAAGGCTCCCGGTGTTATCCTCCCACAGTGACT